ATCACACCAGCCAAACAAATCCTTAACCACCTTTTAAATGGATTAATTTATACTATTTTGCTGCAGAAAGAATATCAAAGATCAGTGTCCAACTCAAATTTAAGTTTCACCTTGAATGTGCAAACTCAGAATTTTGCATTGTAAGCTCTAATAGTCTATGTCTACATTTATGTTAAGAATTATATTTGAAAACTACCATATGGGAAAAAAAAAATCACTAGGCCCTTTACTGACTGCTGGTCCCCTCCACCTCTTCTATGGCGATAGGGTATTGTCTTCTAGGGACCACCTCTCCTGGGTTTTTTTTTTTTTTAGTTCAATTTTTCCACCTCTTTCCTAGTTGCCTTTTTTTAAAAAACAAAAACAAAAACAAACCATACCTGCAGGTCAATGTTTCCTTCCTCCTTTTCAGTCAGAAGTCTCATATTTACCTTTATCCAACCCTCCTCCTCTCTGATCCTAATCCCAATCTTATAATTAGAGTTTTATTCCCCTGTCTCAAAAAAGCCCCTACTCCAGTTCCTCTTTTACTGTGTACTATGGAGTTTCACAATCTACCCCAATGTTCCCTTTTCCCTCCCCCCAGAGTTCCACAGTCTAGCCTGCATGGTGCCCATGGTCATATTAATGACTTTATTCTTAATTAAAGTTCCTAGAACAGATTTCTTTCTTCCTTTCCCTGCAATTCATCCTGTTTACATTTCCCTGGGTGTTAATCAACATCGTATGTCTGGTCTATCAGTCTACTGGGCCCTTTATTCCTGAAAATGGACCATCTTGAGAATGTCTCATAGGACCAGAAGGTGCAGCTTGTGGGGGAATCCTGAAGTCAGTGAGACTGCTGGGTAGAGGGTGGCTGGGGAAACTCCAATCTTGCTTGTACTTAAGGGCTGTGGACTGGGGCTTGCTAGAGTTTTCCTTTCCGTAATTTACCCTTTAGGTTTCTGTGCTAGGGAGAGGCCTTTCTCTTTCCTTTCTTCTTCTTTTTATTGTGAATTTTGTGAGGATTCATAGGACAGATCAGTTTTCCATTCAACAAATCATACACACTTTGTATCATCTCATTGAGTGCGACCGCAGCAATGAAACATCACTGATCCCGCTTCATCCCTGTGTTTCCTGTTTCCATCCCTCTTTCTTTCTAACCCATCTAAACCTTGTCCTTGGGTAGATGCTACCCTTTTAATTTGAAATGGCTGATGATTCTAACGTGTACACATCTCCCTAGAGTTATACTGTTCCCCTTACAGACCTGTCCATTTGGCTGAAAATTGAGCCATAGGGGTGAGTTCAGTTCCAGACCTGAAGGGTGACCAAGGGCCATAGTCTCAGGATTCCACCTGTCTTTATCTGACCAGTAAGCCTGGTTTACTTTATGACTCTCAGTTTTGTCGAGGTCATACATTTCTAATTGAACCAGTGTCTGGTGAGTTATACATAAGCAAATTCAGTTGTTCATTCAGCAACTATGAATTGTGTCCATTTTGTGCAGGCAGGCTTCGGGCTAGGTGCTACCCAATATGTGACAGGTACTGTAGCATAGTGGTTACGTATCGGACTGTGAACCTCAAGGTCAGCAGTTCGAAACTGCTAGCTGTTCTGTGGGAGAAAGATGAGGCTTTCTGCTCCCGTAAAGATTTACAGCTTCAGAAACCCTATACAGGGTCGCATTGAGTCAGAACCAATTCCACGACACATAACCAACACCACCACCACTTGATACTACTATATGTCTAATAGCAACCCTGTAAAAGGTGTCTTTGGGGCCTCATTCTATAGATGAGAAAACCAGGATTCATCAAATAAGTAATGGTCTCCAAGTCTTTGCACCCTCTAAATAGCTTAGATTCGAACCAAGGCTTCCAGGTTCAAGAGCCACAGATCTAACCTTGCCGCCTGTCATCTGTATGTGGACGTATACAGGTAGCTGTTGGAATTCAGTAAGCTCTGGCTTGCCTGCCCAGAAGGCACAGCCTGAGAGGTTATTTCTGAATGTGTGTGTGAATGTGTGGTTGTGCACATGGGGTATGTGTGTGCATTCATGTTCCATCTGCAGGACACCCTTGGAAGGAGTCTATGATGGAATGAGAGGGGGAGGTGGCTCTCTAGTGTTCCTCTTTTTTAGAGGGAGTAAGTGTTTTTTTAGAGCCCTGGTGGTTCAGTGGTTAAGCACTTGAGTGCTTAAGGTCAGCAGTTCAAACACACCAGCTACTCTGCAGGCAATTTGCTTCCTCAATGATTAAAAAAAACCCTGAAAACTTAAAATTCATAGCAACCCTATAGGACACAGTAGAACTTCCTCCGAGGGTTCCCGAGGCTGTAATTGTTAAGGAAGCAGACTGCCACAGCTTTCTCCCAGAGGGGTTGATCTGCACCACCAACCTTCTGGTTACTACTGAGCACTTTATCCACCACACCACCACGGGTCCTTCCATAAAGATTGTAATTACTTGCCTTAGAGTTAATTCCAACTCATAGCGTGTCCCTGTATAGAGTTTTCTAGGAGTGGTTGGTGGGTTTGAACCTCCAGCCTTTCGGTTGAAAACAGCCTTGAAGTCAGGCATTTATCCTACAGCATCACAACCTTGGAAACCCTATGGGGCAGTTCTACTCTCTTCTATAGGGCCACGTTAAATCGGAATTGACACAATGGCAGATAACAACACTCGTTTTCTCTCCTAAATGGACTGGGTAACTTCTTCTCAGTCTGTGGGCTGTGTGTGTCAGGGGCAGTCAGACCAGAGCAGGCTGGGCCCGAGCTGCCTGCATTCCTCCATTGCAGCTTGGTTTCCATGGCACTGACCGTCTGGTAAGGACCTTTGTTCACACCAAATGGAGAGCCCCTCACTTGTGTTGGTTTCAAAACAGAATATTCACTCTTTTCTCTCTCTCTCTCTCTTTTTTCCTTCCAGGGGACATATGTGAGATAGGGAGAGGTCACTTGCATCAGTACTGTGGTCCTTCCAGCCTTCAAAATGCATTGTCAAGGGCTAGTGTGGGAAGATACTCCTTTTTTTTTTATCATCTTCCTATGGGGCTACACTAAGCGTGGACCCCCTGGATTCCCTCTGCACCTTGGTCAGACACACATTTATCAAAGTTTGTTTTGAAAACTCTTCAGTGTTTCAGTCTCCACCAGCTCTCATGAATAATGTGTCTGACAAGTTTCACTGCTCACGGTAGATCGAAGCTTGGCCTTTGTTTATTCACAAGCCTCACAGTGTGCTCCCTGATTCTGATGACCTGGGGTCTGTTTCCCATCTCTTCCTTTCAGGAGGCAATTCTTGATCATATTCTCTTCTCTCCTTTGTGTTTCCAGACCAAGGTTTCTCAACCTGCATTCTTGGGACAGTGTGGGCATGGTACGGTTTTGATGTGGGAGCTGTCTTGTAGATTATATGATGTTTAGCCTCTACCCCTTAGATCCCAGCAGCTTCTCCCAGTTGTGACACCAGACATTGCTATAGATCCCCTTGGTGGTGGTGGTGGTGGTAGTGGTATGGCAAAATCACTCCCCGTTGAGAACCACTCTTCTAGACTGAGCAGATGCCCCTCAATGCACATCTTTTCTTAGCTTTCTCCAGGTCTTATTTCTGTGTCTGCAGGGCAAAGAGGCTTCCAGGCTGGGATGAAGCCAGTTCCTATAATTAGCTGGGCTTTGTCATAGTAACTAATATTGATTATGACAGCACTTAATCTCTGAATATTTCACATGAGCTGTGTGAATTAGGGCATTCAGCTTTGATTTTATAGATGATAATGAAGCATAGAGAAACTTTTCAAAATTGGATCCACAGACCACTTATTTTTGTATCACTGGGGAGCAGGGCAGATTTCTGGCTTGTACACCAGACCTACCAGCCAGAATCTTCAGAGGGTCAGGGACTTGGCAATCTACATTTTATGCTTTGCAAGTTCTTTTTTGAATGTTATTATTTGTTGCCACCAAGTTGGTTCCAACTCATAGCAAGCGACCCTATCGAAACACTGCCTGGTCCTGCCACATCCTCACAATGGCTACATGTGAGCTCAGTGTTGCTGCCACTGTGTCAATCCACCTCACTGAGAGTCTTCCACTTTTTCATTGACCCTCCACTTTACCAAGCTTGACGTCCTTCAACAGGGACTGGTCCTTCCTGGTAAAACATGCCCAAAGTCTGTGAGGTGAAGTCTGTCATCCGTACTTCTAAGGAGCAATCCAGCTGTACTTCTTCCAAACAGATTCATTCATTCTTCTGGCGGTCCATGGTATATTCAATATTCTTCATCAACACCATCATTCAAAGGCATCAATTCTTCTCTGATCTTTTTTACTCATTGAATAATTTTACATATATGTGATTACAAAATTTAAAGATGGTGAGATGTCTGTTACTGTTGCTGCTACCTGATGCAGTTCCCCTTCCCCCACTCCCTGCACCCCATATACATGCAGGTATGTATCTTTCTGTAGTTATCTATGGGACCCTGAGCTTTGAGCACACTTTCCAGTGATACTTACCTAGTGAGACCCAGTGCTCTACATCATGATGCTTGACTGACTTGGTATGGGAATTTTGAGGGCAGAAAGGTTTTCTCACTGTGGCTGCCAAAACAGGCATTCTGGAGGTTTGGTGTGTTTGGTGTAAGTCTCTCTCTTGTCAGTTTATCCCTGCACCTGAGTCATAATCAAAGGAAGGGGAAACAAGTTCAAATACAAATAGCTCAGTTTGGGAGACAGAACTTGCTCTCCAGAAGGAACCTCTCCTGTTCTAACCTCTGAGCTTCGAGTCAGTGGGAATTTCATGGGAGGCTTACTCAATCAGCTGAGGTGTCAGGACATGTGAGAGCTTTGGAACGGAGTGTCAGTTTCTTGGAACCAGACAGCAGACCTCTCACGTCTTGATTCTTGGGGCTGGGCTCATAGGCTGTCTTCATTATGCATGTTCTGACTAAACTGTAACTAAGGCCCTGTTGGTTTGGTGTGCCTGATGTGGCTGGTCTTCATTCTCTTTCTGCAGGTTTGGATCCTGCTGGGCCCATGTTTGAAGGGGTGGACATCCACAAGAGGCTCTCCCCTGATGATGCAGACTTTGTGGATGTCCTGCATACCTACACACGATCCTTTGGCTTGAGCATCGGGATTCAGATGCCCATAGGCCATATTGATATCTACCCCAACGGGGGTGACTTCCAGCCAGGCTGTGGACTCAACGACGTCTTGGGGTCAATTGCATATGGAAGTAAGTTCCTTCTTTTCTGCTTCATGTGGAAGCATCTCTTCAATCAGCCAGAGCGCTTAGTGTCCCCAGTACCATTCGTGTCACAACTTATTACTACTCCCTCTTCCCCCCAATGCAACAAGGAACCCTGGTAGGGTAATGGGTGATGAGTTGGACAGCTAACTGCAAGGTCCACATTTTGAATCCACCAGGTGCTCTATGGGAGAAAGATGAAGTTTTCTGCTCCCATAAAGGTTTACAGCCTCAGAAACTCTGTACGGCGTTGCTGTGAGTTGGAACTGACACGATGGCACACAGCAGCAAGCCCCACCCAATTATCTTCAAATGTTGTGTTTGACGTTTCCCATCATCCTATGAGCCTATGAATCGCTACCCTGCAGTTTTTGCTATGCTGTAATTCCATAGTTGTTATTTATTGTTGGGTTTTTTTTTATGACAAAAGGAATGCATATTTTTGGAAACAATCAAGCAATATCAAATTGCATAAAACAAAAAGTCACCCCCCCAATTCACCCTAATTTTCACTCCTTAAAGGTAGTTAGTATGAATAATTTTGGATGTATCCTTCTAGCCTTTTTTCCTTTGCAATTTTATGTATATGTGTGTGGGTATAGTGATCTCTTCCAAAAATGGGATCTTAACCACAATGCCCTACAAATTTCTTTTTCAGTCGTAATAGGTTATGGACATTCTCACAAACCAGGACATTTGAGATTGGCTTACTCTATGGAGTCCTGGTGTGGCACTGTGGGCTAATGCGTCAGACTGCAAAGCCATTTGAACTGGAACATCAGTGGTTCAAGCTTACTAGCTGTTCCTTGGAAACCCTATACAGGGTCGCTATGGGTTAGAACTGACTCGACGGCACTTAACAACAGCAACAACCCTTTATAAAGCTGCATAATAGTCCATAACATGGATACACTATAATTCAGTGTTTGACTAGTATTTTAAAAAAACAAAACTAACATGTTTTCTCCATTCAGTTCCAATTTATATTCTAAGTGCTTGAGCAGACTTGATATGAACTGAATCTGCTGCTGAAACTGATGTGTAGCTCCGTGTGACCAGTCCTTTTTGGGGTCTTCCATATTCTCATGGTCTTGGATTCGGCAGCATTTTCTAGTTGTCTCTTCACCCTGATGCTCTGCCCTTTGGATGACCCACTCTGTCCCTCTCTTGATAAGGATTGTATGGAATTATGGTATTTCTAGAGGCTGGTGGTGTCAGTGAAGAAGGGATAGAATTCACTTTGTCAAATTTTTCTTAAAGTCTAAATGATTATCCTTAGTTTCTGGTTATAAGAAACAATGATGTAGCGGGAAAAAAACAAAAAACCCCAGCTGTATTGCCATCATATCCATTCTGACTCATAACGAATGGCCCCCTAGGGTTTCCCATGCCATCATCCATGGCACTGAACAACAATAACAGTCTTTACAGAAGCAGACTTCCACATCTGTTTCTCATGGAAATTTTACCGATGTTTCAAATTGCCAGCCTTTTGATTAGCAGCCTAGTGCTTTAACCAGGGGCCAGAAAATCCAAATTATACTCCTAACTATATGACCCTGAGCAAATCAATTCACCTCTATGGCCCTTTGGGTTTTAATTAATAATTGAAGGGCTTGGACTCAAATGGGGTTAGCAAACATATCCTTAAAGAGTCAGATAGTATTTTAGGTTTCGCAGGACATACTGTCTATTTCAACTATCCCACTGTACTACAATAGCATGAAAGCAGCAATAAACAATCCATAAACAAATGAGCATGACTATGTTCCAATAAAACTTTATTCACAAAGACAAGTGGCTTAGCCTGCAGGCTGTAGTTTGCTACTCTATACTAGGTTGTTGTTGTTAAGTGCCGTGGAGTCGGTTCCAACTCAAAGTGACCCTATACAGGGTTTCCGAGACTGTAAATCTTTACGGGAGCAAAACACCTCATCTTTCTCCTGCGGAACTGCTAGTAGTTTCAAACTGGTGACCCTGAGGTTCGCAGCCCGATTTCCAAGGCTGTAAATCTTGATGGGAGTAGAAAGCCTCATCTTTCTCCCACGAAGCGGCTGGTAGTTATGAACAGCTGACCTTAAGGTTCGCAGCCTGATTCATAACCACTATACTACCAGAGCTCCTTCTATACTAGGTAGAGTTAGGCATTTGATCTATTTCTACTGTTTTGTGACTACACAATGCTTATCAGGACTTAGTGAATTAGGACTCCTTCCACATACCTGCATCACCCAATCTAGTACTTACTAAGCACGCTCTTTGTGTGTGTTAGTGCCATTTTGCTATCTAGAAAGAAAGCAGGTCAGTGTGGGGGATGATCTTTCCTTTACCTAAGAGCCTAGAACAGCACTGGGCACGCGTTAGGAATTACACACGTAAGAATACTAATAGAATACTAACAGCAGCAAAGCAAATAGCTCTTGTTGTCATTGTTTAGGGGCACTGAGTTTCTGCTAAGGGTGGAGGTAGCATTTGGAAAAGGATAGCAGTGCTGGCTGCACAGCATGAGGGACATAGTCAAAGCCATTGAATTGCCCATGTAAAAATTGTGGAATTGGCAAATGTTTGGTTACATTTCTTTTTACCACAATACTAAAAAAAGAGACAACCATTAAAGATTTTGTAGCTTACTCTCCATTTATTAAGGATCTCTGATAGTGCAGTGGTTCCGAGTCGGGCTGCTAATCTCAAGGTCAGCAGTTAAAAACTACCAGCAGTTCTGTGGGCAAAAGATGAGGCTTTCTGCTCCTGTAAAGATCTATGCAGGAGCAGAAACCCTATGCAGGATCACGATGAGTCGGAACTGACTCCATGGCACATAACCACCACCACCACCATCCATTTATTACAAAACCACTGAGGATAATAAGTCAAAATGAATATACGTGAAAAGAAAACAAGCTCTCACGGAGCAAGCGTACGGTGCTGACAGACAGACTCAGTGGTCACATGAGCTCAGGCACTCACCCTTTATGTCCCCTCACCCCACAGCCATCACGGAAGTGGTGAAATGTGAACACGAGCGTGCTGTGCACCTGTTTGTTGACTCCTTGGTGAATCAGGACAAGCCAAGCTTCGCCTTCCAGTGCACCGACTCCAACCGGTTCAAAAAGGGCATCTGTCTCAGCTGCCGGAAGAACCGCTGTAACAGCATCGGCTACAATGCCAAGAAAATGAGGAACAAGAGGAACAGTAAAATGTACCTGAAAACCAGGGCGGGCATGCCATTCAGAGGTAAACTTCAGTCCCTGAAGTGCTCTTGAGGAAGGGCTTTAATCTTAGTCCTCCTTAGCATCATGATGAAAGACCTCTGGTGGTGCAGTCAGTAAACACTTGACTGCAAACTGAAAGGTTTCATGTCCACTAGCTCCACAGGAAAAAGATGGGACAGTCGGCTTCCATAAAGATTACGGCTTTGGAAATCCTATGGAACAGTTCTGTCCTATAGGGGTCAGTATGAATAGGATTTGCCTTGATGGCAGCCGGTAGCGGGTAATGCTATATCGCAGAAAAAGGTGCAACCCAGCCCAGGGGAGTGGCCCAGCATGGCGACTGCCCATTCAAATCCCTGCAAATCTGACTGCGTTGTGCACATGCTGGGAAACTCAATGGTTCAAAATGAGGTGGGGATACCTTTTGTGCTATGATCCATGACCACACATCTTATATTTCTATCTTGTGTTTAACTCTCCAAAGCAGTTTCATATTTGCATTTTCGTTTGATCGGCACAACAAATTTGAGACAGAGAGAACAGGGGATCAAAATTATACCTTACATTTTAGTAATGTTCAAGAACTGTATAGTTTTGCGCGCATTGTTTTATATATGAGGAAGTTGCAGCTCATAGCGGTTAATACCATGGACCTTAATCTAAGGTCATGCAGGTAGAAAATGGCCATGTCCAAATTCCCCAATAGTCCCCTGACTCCCAAATTCAGAACTCCTCCTGGTATACTGCAGTGAGGTCTTGTGCCATTGGACAGAAAGGGTCCCGAGAGAAGATTCCAGTCCCCACATCTTCAGTGTGTTGATGACAAGCATACCCTACTCACGTCTTTGCTCTGCTTTCCCCTCAGTCTACCATTATCAGATGAAAGTCCACATCTTCAGTTACAAGAACGCGGGAGAAATCGAACCCACCTTTTACATCACCCTGTATGGCACCAATGCGGATTCCCAGACTCTGCCTTTGGAAATGTGAGTCACGGTTTCCTTCCTGGGTGTCAGAAATGAGAGAGAGTGAACGAGCTTCAAGCAAATGCAGGGGAGTGTGATCTGGGCTCCTAGGGAGGAACTGGGTGGGTCGAGTGGCCTCTCCTGGCTCTGTTCTCTCCCAGAGCCTGACTCAGATTGTTTCTGGCAGGGAGGCTCCCTTGATGACTCAGCCGCATGACAAGCCGCTGGGATCAGTTGTGCAGAAACTGCTGCTTTGGGAGATTTGGAGCCTCATAAGCATCTTCCTTGGACCTTTCCTAAATGATCTGGCAGTGGGTGGGGTCCGAAGTAATCTGCATATTTGTTGAGCACCTGCAAGCAGGATGCCAAGTAAAGTTGGGATTGTGAGGAAATGCCTGCTAAGTACCTGCTTGTAGGACTCTGGACACATTCACAAATGGGGTAAGGCAGACCACACTAAATGCCAAGTGAGAAGCACAGCCGTGAAGGGCTAGTTCAGAGGGTAACAGATCCCTATTGGCTGAGAGGAACACTTGTCTAGTAGGATGTGATTTCTGTGTGGGCTCTCATTTCTGCTCTGGTGGTCCTGCCTGTCCAGACAGTAGTGTGAGTGTGAACTGCATCCATATGACTGGTTGGGATCAGGAGTCCAGTGCTTATGGGCAGTTATATCTCTGACAGTGTGTCACACACATGAGCTTCTGCTCTGGTCCTGCTGGTGGGACTTGGAGGGTCCAGGTCAGGGAGGGAACTCATGACTTTTTCTCCAAGGGATCACCCCATGTGGTGCAGCAGTTTTAGGGTTCAGGAGGATGAGATGGGCTTTTCTCTCACCTTGTAGAGTGGAGAAGATTGGCCTAAATGCCACCAACACATTCCTGGTATACACTGAGGAGGACTTGGGTGACCTCTTGAAGATCAAACTCACCTGGGAGGGGACATCTCAGTCCTGGTACAACCTGTGGAAGGAGCTTCGAAGCTACCTGTCTCAACCTGGAAACCCTTCTCGGGAGCTGAATATCAGACGCATCCGGGTCAAGTCTGGGGAAACCCAGCGGAAGTAAGTACCTTGTGAACTTTCTCCTATTTCGTGTGAAGAGAGAGCAGCAGGTGGGGGTCACTGCTAGGTCCTTCCTTCTAAACATTCACGAGCATTCAAGCCAACCTTGAACACTGGGACAAGGTCGCTGATCACGGACCCTCTGCAGAGAGGAACGGGTGAACCCAAACCTTTGTTGAGTAGATTCCAACTTATCGCAACTCTATAGGATACAGTAGAACTGCCCCATAGACTTTCCAAGGCTGTAAATCTTTAAGGATACAGACTGCCACATCTTTCATCCACAGAGAGACTGGTTGGTTTGAACTGCCAACCTTTTTGTTCGTAGCTGCATGCATGACCATTGTGCCACCAGGGCTCCTGAGAGGTGGGTAAGGGGGCTGCCATCCAGTCCCTGTTTGCTGAACTTGGAGGAAGGTAGTCTTTTCCTGGACAGGATTGTTTAGGAAGGCCAGCTTGTCCTGCTCACCATGGGGCATTGCAATCAGTAAGCTTTGTTTGTCCAGAGCAAGCTGAAGTCTCATCCAGGGAGTGCCCAGCTTGCCCTGGGTGGCAGAGGTCTGTGGGAGAATGCATTTTCTCCAAAGATGTTATTATATCCTTCAGGGGCTTTGAGGCAAGGACAAGGGGTGGGGGCCCTAAATTTAAGTCACAGAAACTTCTCTGTCCCATGCCAGCTGGCAGACCCAGACCTTCATATAGCAGTCCTCCGCCAGGCCGGGGCTCTGACAGCTGCTTCCTCAGTAGGAACCAGGGAAGCTGGGAGACCTTTGCCAGGAGAGGAGGCCTTCATCTGCCGAGCGTTGTGGCAGGTCTGGTAGAGGTCACTGCCAGCCCTGGGAAGTGGGTGCGGAGCAGTCCTAACCTCTTTGTATCTGGTCTGGCCCTTTCTTCCTGTATCTTGTACACATCCATCATCTCTGACAAGCCGGGCAGCACGGGGAAGCTTAAGTCCCTTGTGCAGTGATTCGTCTAGAACCCTGTGTGTCAGATTTTGGGGGTGGGGAAGGGGGAGGAGCTGCTAGTCCCAAGCCTCTGGTCTAGAGAATTGTGTAACTTTTTACTTCTCTTGATAAGTACAACCTGTGCCTAGGGGTGTGATATCAGAAAGATTATTCTTTTTAGAAAATATTCCAAGTATAATAAATACCCATTAAACCATTGGACTACTAATCTTAAGGTCAGCAGTTCAAACCCACCAGCTGGTCTTCAAAAACCTTTTACAGGTCGCTATGAATTGGAACTGACTCAAAGGCACGTAACAACAAACCATCACGGGGAATTACCAAATGTAAACACTTTTCCTTATTGGTTTTGTTTATTTTTCCTTACTGATTGTTGTTGTTAAGTGCTGTTGTATTTCGTTAGCAGTCCAGTGCCAATCCTACAGTGCCACACCAGGACTCCTACGTATATCCTACTGTTAGGTGCTGTTACGTTGGTTCTGACTCGTAGTGACCCCGTATAGGGTTTCTGAGGAGCAGCTGGTAGGTTTAAACCATTTACTTGTGGTTAGCAGTCCAGTGTTTATCCTAGCTTTAGATAAGAGCCTTTAAAAAGTAAAACTTCACAGATCTAGTTAAAGGCTCTTTGTGACCTACCTTATTCTATTCCTCACCCTCTAACAAACAACCAGATGTAACTCATCTTCCGATGGTAGTGTGTTTCCTTCCTATAAATTTTGAAACCTTTACTACTTCTGTTTGAGGAGTCCCTGGGTGGCATAGTTAAGCGCTCAACTACTAGACAAAAGGTGGTGGTTCAAACTCACTTGGAGGTGCCTCGGAAGACAGGTGTGACAATTCGCTTTTCCCAAAGGTCACAGTTTGAAAACCCTATGGAGCAGTTCTACTCTGCACACAAGCCAGAATCGCCTCGATAACGAATAAATAACCAGCACAACTTCTGCGGGTATCCATAAATGATGCATTAGATTGTTTTGGATGCTCCTGAACTTGAGACAAAAGGACATATCATTTTATAAGTTGCTTGGTTTCATTCAACATTGTTTTTCCAATACAGCTTGTCCAATACATACAGGTCTAGTGTATTCACAGTTAACTTTTATATGTAAAATCTTCACTGTATGAGGAAACTACGGTTTAATCTTTCTCCTGCTGAATATTTAAGCTGTTTCCGCTGTTTTGTAGCTACAAATAGTGCTGAGATGAACCTTCTTGTACGTTTTCCTTGTGTATGTGTGTGAGGGCGTCTTTGGGGTATACATACCAAAAAGTGGAAATACTGGTGTTACTGCAATGGTTAAGTAGTCACATATTTGCTGGTCAAGCTAATCAGGCTACTGAGGTGTGGGGCAGCCCAGCTGGGCTTGGCCTAATGTTATGTTTGAAATGGTTTTAGACCCTTGATGATTTCCAGTGATCTTGGTTGTCACCTGGGAACCCTTTGATTTTGACTCGCAGCTGAGCTCCAGTTAGTCTTATCAAGGGGTATTTATGGAGCTCCATATTTCACCCAGCGTAGTGGTTACAAATCGGGCTGAGAACCGCAAGGTCAGCAGTTCAAAACTACCAGTTGTTCCACAGGAGAAAGGTGAGGCTTTCTGCTCCCGTAAAGATTTACAGCCTTGGAAACCCTGTACAGGGTCACAATGAGTCAGAAGCGACTCCACGGTACTTAACAACAACAACAACAACAACATATTTCACCAGCCGCTCCTTGGAAACCCTGTATGGGGTCGCTATGAGCGAAACAGACTTCATGGCATTTAACAACAACAACATATTATAGGTAGGAGTTTCTGGGTGGTACAAAGGGTTAAAACACTTGGCTGCTAACCAAGAGGTTGGAGGTTTGAGTCCATCCAGAAGTGACTTGAAAGAAAAACCTGGTGAGCTACTTCTGAAAGTACCCACTCAGACACACATGGGGCCACCATGAGTTAGGAGTGACAACTGGTTTCACAGTCTAGGTACCTGCGTTCCTGCATTTGGACAGTTTATGTTCTTACAAAAGTTAACCATAAATGTAGAAATCAATTATCAATATTTAAAAATAAAACAAAACATCATTAACTCCATGCCACAAGAAGTAATGATAATAACAAAAGCTACATTAATATAAAGATATGCTTTTTTGCTAAATTGAGGGGTTGAGGAAAGGTTGGCTCATGAGGCTTCAGGGAGGCTCAGACATTTAAAGGCAGAGGGGATGGACACAGAGGAGAAGGTGGAAGAGGTGTGCTTAAAGGCTGCATAAGGTTGAACTGTGGGAGTCTTTGAAGCAAGACACTTGAGTCTTTGTAGGAGTGATGTCTCCATCTACCCATCCACCCACCCACCTATCCAGCCAGCCAGCCAGCAAGTCACCCACCCACCCATCCATCTATCCACCCACCCATCCATCCATCCATCCATCCACCCAGCCAGAAAGCCACCCATCCACCCATCCATCCATCCATCTACTCACCATCCATTCATCCACCCACCATCCATCCATCCATCTACCCATTCATTCATCCATCCACCCACCCACCATCCATCCATCCATCCATCCACCCACTCACCATCCATCCATTCACCCACCATCCATCCATCCATCCATCCATCTATCCATCCACCTCGACTGCAGAAAGCACTGCCTAGCTGACGCACAGCCGGCTACATCAGTGTTTTTTCCCCCGTCTAGATTGACTTTTTGTGCAGAAGATTCTGAGAACACCAGCATATCTCCTGGCCAGGAGTTATGGTTTCACAAGTGTCGTGATGGCTGGAGGATGAAGAACGAAACCAGGTAACTGGGTATTCCCTTTCCATCCACTCTGCACACAGTGGCTGACCATATAACTTATGCTGGACACAACTTGGGCACTAGGGTTATGGCAGTGGATAAAGCAAAACTTTTTTCCTTCTGGAGTGGACCTTCTACTGGAGGGAGACAGACAAATAAGTGAAATATATAGAATGCTGATGGCGTTACTGTTCCCGCGACTTTGTTCCACCTCATCTTGTCACTTCAAAAGGAGGCCTTTCCAGTAACCCAGTCTTCATGGTTGATGTCCATGTCCTGACTCAGTTGAAGCCAGTGGGAAGGTTCCTAAGTTCCTGGTTCCTGGCCACTATGTTGGGGTGGGGTGGGAGGAAAAGGAGATGCACACGTACTTCCTTTCTTTAGGGACTCAGGTTGGTGTGAGTGGGTATAAGTGAGTCTGATTCTCCCCCTTTTGAGAAGCTTGAAAACTCACGTACTGAGTCAGACAAATGGGTAGTCTTGCTTCAATATCCGTTGCCTCATGCTGGAATACCATTATTCCAGAATCAAGGCAAGCCAGTTCCATGGTGAGAGGCAATGGATTCATCAAAAAGGGGAGCCTGTCTCATGTCTTCTGAACCTAAACACAGTTACCCCATCTACCCTGGCCCTAACCAGGTACTAGATAGTAACACCTCAGCCATATACTGAGCATTTGGTGGGTGCCCACCCTGTGCTCACTGCCTGACATACTTTATCTCACTTAATTTTTTCTTCAAGCCCAGGAGCAGGTGTTGTTATCCCAGCGTACAGATGAAGAAACTGAGGCTTGGAGAGAGGGGTCACCCAGTTAGTTAGTGGTAGCAGATGAAGAGCTGAAGCTTGCCCTCTTTCTGAGCATGGACGTTTCCCTTGCTCCTGATAAATCACAACACCCCAGCCTGAGTACCAATTATCATGCAGCTGTGCCTGGACTGGGGTCCCCTGTGATTAAATGTCTGCCAACCTTGGGGCCCAGCTGAGCCTCAGCTGGTCTGTCTCCAGTTTAGGAACATCAGTTCTAGCACAAGTACAGTAATCACAGGACTTGTGAGCTTCTGAAAGCTGCCCGTCTCATTAAGTAACTCAGGCTAGCCTAGGCTCCTAAGATTTTCTGCTATAATAATAATTTTTAATTCTTTATGTTTGTATTTAAATTTATACTTTTAAAGTGCTTCTGGAGCCCTGGTGGCACAGTGGCTAAGTGTTATGCTGCTAACCAAAAAGTCAGTTCGGTGGTTCAAACCTACCAGCCACTCTGTGTGAGAAAGATGTCTGCTCACACAAAGATTTACAACTGTGGAAATGCTATGGGGTAACCCTACTCTGTCCTTTAGGATTGCTATCAGTCAGTGGATTTGGTTTTGGGTTTTAAAGTGCTTCCATTTGTCTTATTATCACTGATCCTCAGAGCAGCTGTTTAAATTGGACTTAACCAGGAAAGGTTGTTATGATAAGACAATAAGATATTTTATTCTTTTTTACTGATCTAGAACTTCATAATACTTGAGAAATATATGATTCACCTCATACTATTTTGAAAAAAAAAAAAATCCCTTCTTAAAAGAAAACAATAGGAGTCTAGGTAATAAGTTAACACTAGGAAGTTGTAGGGGGAGCGTGGTGGCTCTGTATTATAAACACTGAACTGCGAACCACAAGGTCTGTAGTTCGAGCCTGCCAGCTACTCCATGGGAGAAAGATGAGGCTTTCTGCTCCCTTGAAGATTGAAAGCCTCAGAAACCCTACACAGGGTGGCTGTGAGTTGGAACCAACTCCACGGCACTTAACAACAGGAAGTTGTAGCATCCCTTGGCATCTGCAACACCTTTGGTATTCTCTCTCCTGGCATGGGTGCTGTCCATTTGTCTTCTGAGAATGAGATTGAGGATCAGAAAGCTCAGTGGCACATTAATGTAGCTGAGACTAGTGGCCAGATTTTTTGACTCAGTCTTGCCTGCTTCCTGCCATACTATGATCTCTTTTGTATTTCTGTATCAAAGTTAAGAGGACACTTGGGTGGCTCTCTCCACATGTATGTGTGTGTGTGTTGGTTGGGGTGGGTATTGTGTGGAACACGTAGTGTACAGACCATGGTGAATGGAAGTAGGAAACCCAGGAAAGCGCCCCAGTGCGTGGTGCTCACAGTGAGTATGTGGCTCCCTGGGCGAGGGATTTAGAAAGAAGTACTCAGGAGCTTTTCTATTTGTTCTAAAACAGGAAGTAAAGTAATCTGACTGGTGTGGAAGGAAAGCTTGGTCTTTCCATTTTGAGCCTGCCCACTGTCAATGTTTGTGGTGTGAACGAACTGATGAATATCACTTTCTCAAATGCTTCCTTTCAGTCCAACTGTGGAACATCTCTGAGGTTGCCACCAAGGACACACCACCTTCTACACGCATGGAAAAAGTTACTGTTGAGGACCTGCCCGATGGAACGACTTCTCTCAGCCTTGACCCAGAGCCCTGGGAAGGACTTGTTCTCTGGGCCTGGGCCTTTGCCTCCTGTGACAGCTGGGACTTACTGGCTAGAGGGAACCATGCCTGCTGTAGCTCCTGTTGCTGCCCTGACTCTAAGCCCTCGATGACACTTGGAGTACCAAGTCCTGCTTGTGTCCTCTGTGTATATGGCCCGCTTCTTGGGGCCTTTGAGCACAAGGGCCTGGTTTCTAGATGAGCCAGTGCTTTGCCCAACAAGGAATGCTGGTTCTAAAGTGGCTCTGTGCGCAACGCTATCAACTGTTTGACCTGACTTGAACCTTCATAAAAGGTCTTTCCTCTGAGAGCTGACTCACGTCCAGATGGCCAACTAGTTGCCTTGTTCACCCAGATAGGAGAGAGTGGCTTTAGGGAATGTGGAGGCCCTGGCTGTTTCAGTTCTGATGGCTGTACTGGTCAATATTGGTTGCATTTTAGACATTCTGTTCTGCTCCCCAACTCACCCTCCAAAGCATCTTAATTGTTCATTTAAAATTTTGATTGAACAAATGTTTATCCCGCATGCAAAATTAAATAAGATGTTGCAGTAGACCCATTTCTAAACCTCACTAGACTTTGTCTTCTCACCACACTTTGTCAACTTTGGAGCCTAGTTGGAGTTGGTAATTGTAGAAACTCTTCCAGCTTAGGTGACCCATGAGTCTGGGAAGGAAGGCATAAAGGGCATTGGGAGAGGGTTACAGGATATGAAAGTCAGTGACCCTGAGGTGTTAAGTTATTTCCAGCAATTTCTTCAGAATTGACATGCTGCCATCTTTTCTGCAAGTTACATGCTTGATCACAGAGTAACCAACAGAGTGGCATACAGACATGGTGGCCAATTGCTGGAGTGAAATCTCTTCTGTTTAGGGAGATTGAAGATATTACATATGTTTTGATAGTACATTGTAATATCAAATGTAAAGATATTACATTGAAGATATTACATATCTGTTTATAAAGAAACCAGTACTGCCAAACAGAGCTGGGTTGAAGACTTAAAACAGAGCTTTTTGTTTTTGAAATATCATCCTTTAACACCAATGCCTCATCTGTTGAATTTCTTGGGAAAGTCTCAAATTTAGATTTTGATTTGAATTAATATATGTAGTATCAGAGGAATTCTTTTATATTCTTCTATGATTTACATGTGCCTCACCTAATTAGAGTTTCACAACAGGAGGTGAGCATGGCAGCTATTATTTTTCCTGTTTCACAAAACTAAGACTTAGTGAATTTTAAACCCATGCCTGGAGTGGTACACCAAGCTGGTGACAGAACCAGGATGAGGACCAAGTGTGCTCAACTCTGAAACTTCATAAAGACTTTTATAACCAGTTTCTACCAATAAGCTTGTGATGGTTAAGGTTGTGTGTCAACTTGACTGAGCCATGATTCTCGGTGGTTTGGCAGTTATGTAATGATGTAATCATCTTCCATGAGGAGATCTGATGTGACCAGTCATTTCATTGTAAGGGGAGTTTCCTTGGGGTGTGACCTGTATCCAATACATATATGTGTGTATACATATATGTTAAGTGTTCTCAAGTCAGTTCCAACTCATAGTGACCCTGTATAGGGTTTCCAAGGAGTGGCTGGTGAGTTTGAACCACCGACCTCATGGTCCAGTACTTTTTCCTACAGTGCCACACCAGGACTATATATACAGCTAAGCTCGCTTGCTCACTTGCTCTGAATCCTGCATCCAACTAGTCATCCTCTGACCTCCTTGGTTTTCATCACCTCTACAGCCTGTGAGCTAGCAGCCTGCCGTCTGACCTGCTGATCTTGGATTCATCAGCCCCTGTAGCTAAGTGAGTCAGGAGAAGCCTCCAGCTTGAGACAGACTTGAGACTTACCAGCCTCTTCAACTGCATGAGCCATTTCCTTGAGCTAAATCTATATATGAAGGACCTCAAAAGGTTTGTGGAAAAATTCCATTATCTTTCAATTTTATTTTTCCACAAACCGAAAGCCCCTAGTATATGCTTTAAGGAACTCTGCTAGCCTAGTGATTACAAGTCAGGCTGCTAACATCAAAGTCATAAGTTTGAAACTACCAGCTATTTCACAGGAGTAAGAGATGGCTTTCTGCTCCCATGAAGATTTATAGCCTCAGAAATCCTACGCAGGGTCGTTATTCGTTATGAGACAGACCGACTCCATGGCACATAACCAGTATATGCTTTACTGCTTTTGCTTCTCTAGAGAACTCAGCCTAAGACCCAGATATGACAAACAGGGAATTTTTTTCAGAGTCACCCATAAAATTCTAAGCCCTTTTATTTATATATAACCACGAACAAACATGTACTAAGAAGAACGACATTTTATAGGTGAGATTTGTTTAGGAGGAGGTGAGATGTCAGGTGTGGGGGAAGAGTGATTTTCTTTGTACTTGGGTTTTTAATCATTGCTTTAATCTGTATCATGCCAAAGTTGTATCATTAATGCCAAACTTCTGAAGACACAACCAGCCAAATCTTAGCTCAAGAAACGGTCTCAATCTAATTGTGTTCTTCTGTGATTGCTTTATGGCCAAAACAAAGCTTGTCATTAACAATACATCCTGGTTACTTCTGACTAATGTTTCTAGTATTGGGAGCCTTGTGAACTGAATCCTTAGTGACTGTATATGTATGCATTTGGGGGGAAGCCTTATTTGTATATAATGATGCTTTTTTAAAAAGAAAAATGCTACTTAGAATACTATTTATTTTTCAAATGTATATAATGTATAAAATATGTGGTTAGTATTTAACCAATTTTGAGATGAAAAGTTTAATAGTTAAATAATAAAAAATATCAAGTTCTTAACGGTGTGGCAACTCAGTTCTTAAAATTGAAAAAGATAATGTCTGTCCAAGCCAAGGGTTTGATGAAAAGTTACTTTGACATAGATGTAGTCACTTTTTGATACTCGTTGTTGGCAGGGAGTGAACAATAACCCCTTTCACTAGGGAACAGGAGGAAAATGATTTGAATTGTAGCAGGAAGACCTAAAGGTGGATGTTAGGAAGAATAGGGAGGGTGGCTGGACACTGGGAAACATGAATGAGGATTTAGGTTTGATTGTATGAGACTTAGCATAATAGTGACTGATGCCAGATAGAAGGTGATTTCTGTTTTACTTTGAAGGCTATTGGTATTGAGGCTCTGTTCCACAAAGCTAAGAAAAGTCCAGGCTCATATTTTTGATCTGCCATCCATAGAATATCTCCTTTATTCCCTCAGTCTAACTTCTTTATTACAACCCTACCCTCTGCCCTCCCAATCAAGTCCCTTTCTCCAGTCACTGGAAAGTGAAAGACAAGGATGTTGTTATGTGTCGTAGAGTCAGTTTTGACTCATAGCAACCCTGTACAGGGTTTCCGAGGCTGTAAATCTTTATGGGAGCAGAAAGCCTCATCTTTCTCCTGCGGAACAGCTGGTAGTTTCGAACAGCTGACCCTGAGGTTAGCAGCCTGATTCGTAACCACTACGCTACCAGGGATATGCCCCTTTTAAGGACATAGCCAAAAAGTTGGAAATCACTCATATGGTCATATGAAAGGCTGGAAACATTGTCTTTATTCAGAGTGCCATGTCCCAGCTGATAATCTAATTACTATTTATAAAATGGGAAATGGGATATTGCCATCTGTTTATCAGGAATATATTTTTACCTAAAAATTGATGGTTGAATAAAAATAGTTTGATGAATTACATAAATTTGAGTTTATTTCTAATCTTAAATTAGAAGAAAGCTTTCTGAAAGGGGCCTTCCTTGAGGATGGAAAGTGGCTGGTCCCCTTTTTCACTAAGGGCACTCTGAAATAGCAGGCTTAGAATTGGCATTTGGGGAGGGTCTTGGGTAAGGAATGGATGGTTAGAGAGATAATGCTGTTCAGAAAACAAGGTGGTGGTGGTTGTGTGCAATTGAGTCAGTTCCGACTCACAGTGGCCCTGTATAGGGTTCCCAAGGCTATAAATCTTTATGTAAGCAGAAAGTTACATCTTTCTCCCGTGGAGCAGCTGGTCGATTTGAACTGCTGATCTTTTGGTTAGCAGCCCAGCTCAAAGTTCACTACACTACCAGGGCACCTTATTAAATAAGTAGAGACATAAAATTGTTGCTGGTAAGTGCCATAGAGTTGGTTCTGACTCATAGTAACACTGTACAGGGTTTCTGAGGAAAGGCTAGTGAATTTGAACTGCCGACCTTGCAGTTCAAACCAACGTTGCAGCCCCATGCATTAACCTGCAGCTCCACACCAGGACTCAAAATTAGATCCTTATTTAGCACTGTATATAAAGATGAATTTCATTTGAATGAACGATGCAACCATGAAGGAAAGCATTAGCAAATAGATAATATAAAGTATGAATTTGAAACCTGGATAAAACCTGAAAAAAATTTAAAATGTCATCATTGGGACAATAAGAAAAAATTTGCATAGCTCAACAAAGATTAAAGAAGTTGAGATGTTAGTAACAGATTACTCTGTATTCCACCCATTAAAAAATAACGCCCTGGCCACAGCAATTTTACTGAAAAGTATTTCAAGAAGCATATAATCCCTAATTTACACAAGTAGTTACAGATAGTAGAACAAAACATTTATGAAAACAATTACAGGTCAAATTTACTTGTGAACATAGATGAGAAATTCAAAATATTAGCTACTGAATCAATAGGCCCTGAAAAGTAGTGATTCAGGATCTTGGTTCATCCCAGAAATACAAGAGTAGTTCTCTAGCAAAATGTACCAATGTAATTCATCCAATTAATTTACTAAAAGAAGAAAATCACATAATTATTTCAATGATGCAGAAAAATATTTCATTAATTTTTTAAAAAGAATTTTCGTAACTTGACAAACGCTCTTTACCAAAACTTAGTAAGAAAT